AAAAAAGTTGGAGGACTCACACTTCCTGGTTTCAAAACTTACTACAAAGCTACAGTAATTAAGACTGCTTGGTACTAGCCTAAGGATAGATATATAGATTAAGGATATGGAACCGAGAGTCCAAAATAAACCCATACATCTACGGTCAACTGATTTCAACAAGGGTGCCAAGACAATTCAATGCGGAAAGAACAAAGCTGGACCTTCACCTCACATTATATACAAAAATTAACTGAAACACGGATCAAAGACCTAAATGTAAGAACTAAAGCTACAAAACTCTTAGAGGAAAATATAACTAAATCTTCATGACCTTTGATTAGGCAAAGTTTCTTAGATATGACACCAAAAGCATAAGCAACAAAAGAAAAAAACAGATAAACTGGACATCATAAAATTAAAAAGTTTTGTGCTTCAAAGGATACCATTAAAAAAAGTGAAAAGTCAACCCACAGAATGGAAGAAAATATTTACAAATCATATCTCTAATAAGTAGTTTGTATCTAGAATATATAAAGAACTATTACAACTCAATAGTAAAAAGATAACAATTTTTAAAAGGGCAAAGGATCTGAATAGATATTTATCTGACGAAGCTACAGAAATAGCTAGTAAGCACATAAAAAGATGCTCAACATCATTAGCCATCAGGGAAATGTAAATCAAAATTGCAACGAGATACCACTTCACATCTACTAAAATGGCTAGAATCAGAAAGACAGTAACAAGTGTAAGTGAATGTGCTGAGAAACTGGAATCCTCATACAGTGTTGATGGGAATGTAAAATGGTGCAGTGGCTTTGAAAAACAGTCTAGCAGTTCCTCAGCAATTAAACAAAGTCACCATACCATTGATTTAGCAATTCTACTACTAGGTTGGTATATACCCAAGAGAAATGAAAACATATGTCTACATAAAAATTTATACATGAAAAAAAAAAATGATGTTCCTAGAAGCATTATTCATAATAGTCAAAAAGTAAAAAAAAAACTAAATGTCCATAAACTCATGAATGGATAAATAAAATGTGGTATATTCATAAACTGAACACTAATGACTGAAGACCAGAGGAGTTGTGGGATGACATCAATGACATCATAGATGAAGAAAGCAAAAGGTCATCACAAGGATAGGAGAGAAAGAAAAAACCAAAATGGATGTCAGAAGAGACTCTGACACTCGCTCTTGAACATAGAGTAGCTAAAGTGAATGGACGAAATGATGAAGTAAAAGAGATGAACAGAAGATTTCAAAGGGCAGCTTGAGAAGACAAAGTAAGGTATTATAACGAAATGTGCAAAGACCTGGAGTTAGAAAACCAAAAGGGAAGAACACGCGCAGCACTTCTTAAGCTGAAAGAACTTAAGAAAAAAATCAAATCTCAAGTTGCAACTTTGAAGGATTCTATGGGCAAAATATTGAACGACGTAGGAGGCATCAAAAGAAGATGGAAGGAATACAGAGTCACTTGTACCAAAAAGAATTGGTCGATGTTCTATCATTTCAGGAGGTAGCGTATGATCAAGAACTGATGGTATTGAAAAAGAAGTCCAACTACACTGAAGGCACTGGCGAAAAACAAGGATCCAGGAATTGACGGAATACCAACTGAGATATTTCAACAAACAGATGCAGCGCAGGAGATGCTCACGCATCTATGCCAAGAAATTTGGAAGACAGCTATCTGACCAGCCAACTGGAAGAGATCTGCATTTGCGTCCCTTCCAAAGAAAGATTCAACAGAATGTGGATATTATCAAACAATATCATTAATATCACATATAAGTAAAATTTTGCTGAATATCACTCAAAAGCAGTTGCAGCAGTACATCGAGAGGAAACTGCCAGAAAGTCAAGCCGGATTCAGAAGAGAACATGGAATGAGGGATATCACTGCTGACGTCAGATGGATCCTGGCTGAAACGACAGAATACCAGGAAGATGTTTACCTGTGTTTCACTGACTATGCAAAGGCATTGGACTGTGTGGATAACAAATTATGGATAACATTGTAAAGAATGGGAATTCCAGAAACTCAGCTGTCCTCATGTGGAACATGTACATAGACCAAGAGGCAGTTGTTTGAACAGAACAAGGGGATACTGTGTGGTTTAAAATCAGAAAAGGTGTGCGTCGGGGCTTTATCCTTTTACCATACTTATTCAATCTGAATGCTGAGCAAATAATCTGAGCAGCTGGACTATATGAAGAAGAATGTGGCTTCAGGACTGGAGGAAGACTCATTAACAATCTGCGATATGCAGATGACACAACTTTGCTCGCTAAAAGTGAAGAGGACTTGAAGCACTTACCGATGAAGATCAAAGACTACAGCCTTCAGTGGGTTCTTAAAAGCTTGCAAGCAACCATCTAAGATGCATCAATTGGTCCCAACCACCTGGAGTAAAGGAGAATGAAGAACACCAAAGACACAAGGAAAGTAGTAGCCCAAGAGACAGAAAGGGCCACATAAATCAGAGACTTCATCAGCCTGAGACTAGAAGAACTAGATGGT